GTAGAGGCTGTGGTGTCCCTTATCCAAACCTTGTTGAATGAGGTTTACGTAAGAGTATCCCACAACCATTTTTCAAGATGCAGGGGCTTAATACTTGTAACTGAGCCATTTTAATTAGAGTAGCTGTCCAAGAATTGGATAATATACCACCTCCTACACCCCCAAACCACCTTGCTCTATCTTCTGCCTGATTTCAGAAGAAACAGAGCTAACTACATCTCTCTATTCCTTTTTGAAATACATTGATTCCTATCAAACACATCAACAAGGTTGATTTGCTAGCTCTGTGTTTCCCCATAGCAGGACTGAGGCAGAAAATTTGTGTTTCTTGAAGGAGCTGGAAGAAAGGATCACTTCTTTTTCTTCTTTTTTGTTTTTATGCACAGTAAAGTTATATCTAGTGGTTTCATTAAATAATTGTTTATGAAAGGTCAGGCCTCACATCTGTTTACACCCTGCACTCTGAGATTACCATTAAGCATACTAAAATACCATGTGTTTTCTTATTCTAGTAGATAGGGAAACTAGTCCAATAAAAACCAAACAGGGATTATTAACCAATTTCTCAAAGACCAGTGAAGAACCACTATCAGGTTGTAAAGCAAATAATTAAAAAAAAGAAAAAAATGCTATTCTTTTAACCTCCAACATTAAAAGTAGTACCTGAGAGTGCTGTATAATGTAACTCAACATTCAATTACTAATAAAAATCAATTAATAGCAGCTAAATAAAGTTTTAAAGCTTCATGATAATAGTATTAATGAAAAATGTTGTTCCACTGGGTGTTAATAGAGAAAACAGCAGCCATTTCAAGAGTTCATCCAATTGTGCAAAAAAAAAAAAAAATCAAGTTAAACATGCTCATAAACACCGTGCAAAATACAGAACAAGTGGAAAAGATATGAACAAGAAGAGGCCCTGAGCTTCTAGCAAGCAGATAGAACAATCCAAGATCAGATAGGATCATAAAAATCAATCTGATTATGCTAGGGGAATACACCTCACTGGAGATGTTTCTAATTGAATTATCCTGTAACTGTATAGTGCTCAGTGGCAGGCCTAGCTCTACAGAGGGGAAGCATGTGCCCCCAGCAGCCAGCTAGCCTGCTTCTACCCCCTTTCTAGCTCTTATGATCCATCATCACCCTCCCACCTGGCACACCCTGATGGCATCAATTAAGTGGGACCCACACAGTCCAGCCTCAGCTGCAGCAGCACAGCTGAGAATTAGACTCCATACAAGGGCTCTGGCCCTCCAGGTTTTACAACCTAAGAGGGGTTAAATCCCCTGTCTAAAACTATGACCCCTAAGCTTCCTGGCATGACAGCTTATTTATTTAAAGCACCTGCAGAGCAATCCCCACCTCCCTTACAGTCAGTCACTCTCAGTCTTCCAGGAGTCCTTTACAAAACAAAAGGAAAAAAAAATCTCAATTGAAAGTCCCCCTGTTTCAGAGTGACAAGATACAGTCTTTACTTTGGGCTTTGGCCCATGGCTCTCCTGCCTAAAGCACCCAGAAACAAAAAGGGAAAACAGCAACAACGCACTCCCTCTTCTAGGATTAGTTACAGTGCCCATTCAGCCCTTTTCCCTCTCTCCAGCAAGGACCATCCTACTCTCTCCACGATCAAAGCTCCACTGCCTTTCTAGGCAAAGGGAAAGCCTATTTATACCCTGAGCCCAGCCTCTTCTAACAAGCCTGGCCTATTAGCTAGCCTGAACACAGGAGCTACTCTTTAGTCCCAGTCCTGACAGCTCCCTTTGCCCAGGCCACAAAAGCCCTTCTCTTAAGGGGCCCTTCCTACTTCTTCCAACTTCATAGCCCTTCCCCAGTAGCAGGGCAAGTGTTCCTTGTAATACTCACCTCTCGAAATTCTACTGCACATGCAGTAATGAAACTGCAAACTGGAATAAAAGACTGCACACATGTATGTATGCATAAACCTTTAGCCTTCAGCTGGGAGAGATTTCACCTGTTATAATAGATATGTATTGCCTTAACTATAGCATTTGCAATACTGTGCATATGTGTATGGACATACACCCACATACACATCACTTAATATAGTATTAGAAATATTAGAATTAACTGTCAGAGTACAAATTCTTCTTTGAAAAGTGTTGGGAGCAGAGTAGCTAGGAGACAGACTGACCTTATGGAGAAAGCCATAAGGCTTTTTTAGGGATGTGATAAAATATGCAGTTTTCCAAAAGTTTTCATGTTTGCCCACACACACTGAAATTCCACCCACACACGCTGAAATTCTTTATATATTCAAAAGGATATAGATAGATAGATAGAGAAAAGTTTTGGCAGAAAGGTTTTGGAAAACTGCATATTCATACATACATACATACATACATATACACACATATACATACATACATATATTATATATATGTATATATGTATGCATGTTATAAATATAACAGTCAACAGACTGTTGCAGGCACTGTTCTGTAAGCATTGTTGTGGGCACTTTCCTCCATATTCCCTTACACTATCTCTCCATCTTCATCTTTTGGGTATGCTTTAGTCATTGCTATCATCACAGCTCCCTGGCCAATTTTATTTTATCGTATCATATCTAATAATGAAAAGAAAATTCAATCAATTGAAATGAAGGAGAAAAAAAGCACAAAGTTTGATCAAAGTTTCCTTCTGAACCTTCCAGATACTTCTCAGATCACAGTTTGCTCCCCTGCTGATAAGGTCATTGGAAGGAAGAATTGAAATAGGAGAACTAAAACATGGGCTAAATAAACTGGGTTCTGTCACCACAAGCACATTGATGTTTTAGTGATGTGGCTTATCTTATGGCTGAGCTCTCAAAATCCTGAAATTCCACTGGAGCTGAATTACTGTTTAACTTCTCATAAATCAATGGAAGGCTTTTAACACAAGGATTACAGAGATAGGGAGCTTCCAGAATAACAGAAGAAAAAAAACCCCTTAATTCTGTGCCTCTGCCATATGTGTGAAAGATTTAGGTATGCGGGTTGGGCACAGAATAAAGGAAAATGAACCCTGGGAGAACTCAAGAGAATTGACTGTGAAACAGTTCCCTTCAGTGTTAAGGAGAACTAACAGACTCTTGAGCTTAATTAATTACTTGGGGATTTGGACATGCAATTCCCATTACTCTTCATAAGACAAGGGTATCCTTATCCCTTTGACATCTTTGAACATCTGAAATCCTAACAATATAATTGTCTCTTTAAACACTAATTTAAAGGGATGGGCTTTGCTTGACTTATACATAGATGAGCATGTGGGAGGGTCTTCAGGCCTTGTTACACAGTAATTTTAGGTGGCTTTTGAACTGCTGCACTGGCTACATGCCAACACCTTTTAAGTGGCCTAAAGCTAGGGTAACCGTATTATTTTGAAGGAAATACAGGACACGGTAAGGAAATCTGGGAGGGGGGTAACACCCACACACAGAGATATACACACATGCTCTTACCCCATGGCTTCCAGGAGCTCTGACAGCAGGGCAGGGCAGGACAGCGTGGAGGCCTACAGCCCCAGTCTCCACCAGCCCATGCTACATGGCCACAAAACACCTCTCCTTGCTGCCAGAAGCCACCTGGGGCCACCACATACAGCCTGGGTCTCAGCAGTGGCCACAGGAACAGGACAGTGGTGCTAGAAGCAGGGTGCCATCCCAGCTTGCCCTGCATAGATGCCCAAGCACCAGCCCCAGCCCTGGCCCCAGCCCACCCAAGCCTGGCCAATCCCCAATGGAGGGCAGGGTCTGTGGAAACGGGCCTTGGGCTACCATGCTACAGCCACCAGGCTCTGCCCTGCTTCAGCCACCTGGCCCCACTGGGGTGTGTGTCTGGGTCCTGGAGGCCCAATCCTTTTCTTTCTCTGGTGCTTGCCTCCCTATGCTGTCTCTGGCCAGCCTGCCAGCCAAGCATGATGTGAGTTCTGAGGGGCCCAATCCTTTTTGGAGCTTAGGTAGTGCCCAGCCAGCCAGCAGTCCAAGTTGGACAGGCTTAAGAGAAAAAAAGGATCAGGCCCCTTGAAGCTCAAGCAGCAAGCCAGTCATGCCCCTAGCTCCTAGTCCAGCTCCCTCTCACAAAGCCTCTAGTGGCAAGTCACAGCTGTACAAGTGAAGGACAGTCAGAGATGGTTTTTTGCCTTAAAGCTATGACTGATCCACTAAGCTGAACAACACTAAGTCAGTTAATATTTGTTCGTCTTACAGCCTAAGATGTAACAAGGCCCTTCCTTACTTCCTACACAGTCCACAAAATGCTCATGGACAGCCATTGTTCTGTTCCTTCCATATTCACTTTGGTTAGATCTCTACCATCTTTCAGCTATGCTTCATGGTCCCAGGCCTATGTGGTTAATGATATGCTGACAATGGAATACGAAGAAGTTACCTTGTTGATTTAGTTAGCCCTTCCAGCCTTGTTACCACCAACCATCAAAAGGTGGTAAAGAAGAGAAGGAGAGTGAACATAAAGGGAAGCAATGCATTCTAATTGTAGGGCACTAAGCTATATGTCTTGGGGCCTGTGTCTGATGGTCCCTTCATTCATTAGTAGTTCTCCAACCTGCTTGGAGCCTTATAATTTAGTAGCATTTTACCAGTGTAATCATGATAAATCAAGCCCAACAGATGTTGAAGATCAATGTGATGTCAACATTGATTGTCCTACAGAAGTCAGTGTTACTTGTACACTAAAGGTTTTACTGGGCTCTGCTTCTTATCTACTAACAAATGTTGTAACTAAAAGACTTTACCAATGAACTGTAGGAATGACAAGACCTAACAGAAATTGTAAGCATCTAGCCAACAGTGAGTAGGATGAGCTCCCTCCATTATTAAATTATCTGATAGCAACATAAGTGTGCATGTTTTCAGGTATTTTGGTCACAGTCTAGCAAAGATAGAGATGAGTAGTTCCAGTGACTTCAGCTGATTTCATTGATTACTCTAGTGCTTAAAACTGAGCTTGTGTTTTGTTGGATCAGGGCCTCAGCTTGTGTGAGATAAATAGACTACTTAAAGTACCACTAACTACTAAGGGTGTGTGAAATGGGCCCTAGTCGATTCAGATTTGGATTCAGCCTGAATTGGGGACAGTGATTTGATTGATTCAGATCACTGTTCCTGACTTGATCCAGCCAAATCCAAATCTGAAGATTCCATACTGATTCGGAGAATCAGTGATTCAGCCATAGACACAGCTTTAAATGTTTTTTCCACATACCTCGAGGTAACAGGCTCAGCTCATGAACGCTGCGATTCTGGGATGGATGGAGCATCACACGGGAGTGCAAGAGGGGCGGAGGGCATGCTTGGTAGTGAACCCAGAACTGGACTGGTAGTATTTCCAGTCCACCTTCGGGTCCCCCGGGGAGTACACTGGGACCCCCCCCCCATGCCTCCCAGCTCAGTGATCAGTCATGGGGGGACCCCGGGTGCCCCCCCAGATCCAGGAGGTACCGGTCACCAAGCTGTGGGGGGGCGCAGGGGGGCCCCCAGCGCACTCTCCAGAGGATCTGGAAATGGACCAGAAGTGCTTCCGGTCCACTTCTGGGTCTGCTGCTGAGCATGCTGGGAGTCCCCTGCACTTCTGTGGGACACTCCATGCACCCCAGCATTGCAGCACTCACGAGCCACCTACTACCTTGAGGTATATAGAAAAAACATTTAAAGCTGTGTCTATATCCATAGTTTCATAGGTAGTAGTGTCGGAAGGGACCTGAGCAGATCATCGAGTCCGACCCCCTGCCATGGCAGGAAAGAGTACTGGGGTCAAACGACCCCAGCAAGGTGTACATCTAGCCTCTTCTTAAAGACCCCCAAGGTAGGAGCCAGCACCACTTCTCTTGGAAGTTGATTCCAGATCCTAGCCGCCCTGACCATGAAGTAGCACCTC